CCACTCACTCTTCTTCTTCCTCTTGGTGCCGCCCAGCGCCGCGTGCAGAGCGTTCAGGAACCACGACAGGAATTCCACCCCATCCCCTGCAATGGGGGCACAGCAGGGCTGGAGCCAGAGCTGACCCTGGATCCTGCTCTGCCCCACCCAGCACTGCCCCTCAAATCCAGCACTGCACCCCACATCCTGCTCTGCCCCTCAAATCCTGCTGTCCCCCCACATCCTCCTCTGCTGCCTCAAATCCAGCTTGGTCCCCATATCCAGTGCTGCCACCTAAACCCAGCACTGCCCCCAAATCCAGATCCCCCAGACCCAGCCCAGCCTCCAAATCCAGCAATGTCTCCCAGATCTACTGCTGCCCCCCAGATCCAGAGCCCCCCAGAATCCAGTCACCCAAACCCAGTCCTATCTCCTGTATCCAGAGCCCCCAGACCCAGCCCTGTCTCCAAACCCAGCAGTGTCACCCAAACCAAGCCCTGCACCCCAAATCCAGAAACCCCTGGGTCCAGCACTGCCCTCAAATCCAGAGCACCCCAGGTCCAGAACTGCCTCTCAAATCCAGTGCTGTCCCCCAGACCCAGAGCCCCCCAGGCCCAGCACTGCACTCCGAGTGCAGAGACTGCCAAATCCAGCCCTGCCCCCCCAAATCCAGAGCTCCCTGGGTCCAGCTCTGCCCCCCAAATCCAGCATTTCTTCCCCAATCCAGCACTGCCCCTAAATTTCAGCCCTGCTCCCCAAACCCAGACCCCTCAGACCCAGCTCTGCCCCCCAAAGCCCACCCTGCTTGGTGATCTGGAAGTTCTTCTTGCTGCAGAGCACCACAGCCTGGAGCATCTCGTGGGGCGACACGTGAGCCTTGAAGTTCCTGGGGTTCCAGAGCTTCCTCATGAGCTCCCCGAAGCGCTGCACCAGCAGGAACATGATGTCCCCGGGCGGGCGCTGGATGCGCCGGTAGTTCTCCTCCTCCAGGAAGTAATTCCGCAGGGGGGGCACGTTGGACAGGGCCTGGGGGCAGCAGGGGGGATTCAACGCCCGGGACCCCCAGAGAGGGGATCTGCGAGGGTTTTGGAGGGTTTCTGAGGGCTGCACCCCCAGCAGATGCAGAGCCCCTGGGGCAGGAGGTGGGATTCATCCCCAGAGCGGGGATTTAGGGGTTATGGGGGGGTCTCATGCCCAAAAAGAAGCCTGCATGCCCTCTGTGTGTAAACCCTGTGGGATTCATCCCCAGAGCCCCCAGAGCACGGATCTGGAAGGGGGCTATGCAGGAGTTTCACCCCAAAACAAAGCTTGTACCCTCAAGGTGTAAAGCCTGTGGGAAAGGATGTGAGATTCCCCCCTGGGAACCCCAGAGTGGGGTTTTGGGAAAGGGTTTGGGACAGTTTTGAGAGGACTTCACAGGGTGCGCTCCCCTGTGTGTAAAACCTGTGAAAAGAGAGGTGGGATTCCTCCCCAGAACCCCCACGGTGGGGTTTTGGGGGGGTTATAGGATGGTGTCACCCCAAAACAAAGCCTGCACCTCCCAGGTGTAAAGCCTGCGAGAGTGGACATGGGATTCATCCCTGTCAGCCCCACAGCAGGGTTCTGGGGTGGTTTCACCCCAAAATGAACTCTGTACTCTCCAGGTGTAAAGTGTGTGAGACAGGAAATGGGACTCATCCCCAGGACCCCCAGAGTGGGACTGTGCTGGGGGTTCACCCCAAACAAAGCCTGTACCCCCCCACGATGTGTCTCCCGTGGGAAAGGTGGGATTCACTCCCACGATCCCCCCGTGGGGTTCTGGGCTGTTCCCCCCCCGGGCAGCCTGTCCCAGTGACCTGCAGCACGGCGTTGGCATAGTCATTGGCCTTAATGTTGTTGAGCCCCACGATGCCCGGCAGGTACGTGGTGCCATCGTAGGCCCGGGACAGCTTGGCCTGTTTGTCCAGGTGGGCGATGTGCTGGGCTGTGAAGGTGGGCTTGAGCACGTACTGCGGGGAGAGGCACCCCTCAGAATGGGGGGAACCCAAACCTGACCCCTCAGAACAGGGGGAACCCAAACCTGACCCCTCAGAATGGGGGGAACGCAAACCTGACCCCTCAGAACGGGGGGAACCCAAACCTGACCCCTCAGAATGGGGGGAACCCAAACCTGACCCCTCAGAACAGGGGGGGATCCACAGCTGACACCTCAGGATAGGGGGAACCCACACCTGATCCCTCAGCATGAGGGGGGACCCCAAGCCTGACCCCCTCAGAATGTGGGGGACTCAAACTGATCGCCCTCAGAATGGAGGTGCCCAAATCTGGCCCCTCAGAACAAGGGCAACCCCAAACCTGATTTCTCAAAACAGAGAAAACCCAAACCTGACTCCCCTCAGAACAGGGGTACCCCAAACTGACCCCCCACAGAACAGCAGTACACCCAAACCTCACCCCTCAGAGCCAGGGTACCCCAAACCTGACCCCCCTCACAGTTGAGGCACCCCAATGCTGCCTCCCCAGCAGTGGGTGCCCTCAGCAGTGGGTGCCCCCGGTGCCCCCGCACCGTGATGTCCTCGAGGGAGGAGTCAATGATCTCGTAGTTGTCGGGCAGGCAGTAGAACTTGAGTGTGTGCAGGTTGAGGAACACGTGGTGGCTCAGCTGCACGCTGTGGATGTAGGCGTGGGACTTCAGCCCGCGGCCTGCGGGGACAGGGGACACCACGGGCTCAGGGGGGACACCACGGGCTCAGGGGGGGACA